TTTACTTTTCTTTTGTACTGCTCCCTACTTGATCCTTTGCGGAGCAGCTCAGTTTCAGTCCCTTTGGGTACGTTCGAAAATTTTTCTATACATACATATGTCCATTTTAACCCTTTCGGCAATTTCGAAGTCAACTATTAAAATAGCCAACTTATTACGGCTAGCTTTTAATGGGTTTCAAAGTCATGCAGGGCCCAATTGAGGGGATATGTACCCACTAGGGATGTTAATTTTTTGACTTTTTACGATCCCGGGATTTTCGAAATGTCGTTAACACGGTCCCTGCATTTCAGGATTAGCCCCGGGAGTTAGATATTCATTACTTTTCAACAATTTAAATCTAAAAAATTGCTTCTATATTGTTCGAGAAGCTCTCGTAACATAAAATAAATAATAATTAAATGGGTTTGAAAACTAATTTTTTATTTAAAGTGGCGATTTCATTTTTGCTCCCTGACGTCAGCATTTATTTTAAATAATAATTTCAAAGATATGATTACTTCCAAAAATTATTTAAAAAATTCAATGCAATGTAGAATAAAAATATGGATACCAAATGAAAGAGGAAATTTCTTTAGAATAAAAAAAAGAAATAAAATTTTTTTGATTCACAAGGTCGCATAGGTAATTTTTTTAACTGAAAATTTAGGAGGACAAAATTCGAGGATATTGTCGAGTTTTTATAAGTCCTTAACATACAATTTTCAAAAAATAAATATTACAAAATTTCAAGGATAAAATTTAAAAGGGACATTTTCAATACTTATTATTATTATTACTTATTACAATCCTTATGCACCAAAATATTGAATTTGTTTCACGAATATATTGATATTTGTGTGTAAAATTTACTATCGAACATTGCTATATGTATATTGAGCTAGTCATTTATAAAAAAAAATATTAATTATTAAATAAACAAAAATATTAATCTATATATATAAATGTGAATGTCTGTTTGTTTATTACCTTATAACTTCTGAACCGCGGCACGGAATCGCACGAAACTTTGCACAATTATTTTCTTTTACCCCGGGAAGGTTATAGGCATAGAGAAAAATGGGCAGTACTGGAAAAGAGGGCGTGGCACCTCCTATTCTAACTAAAATTTCCATGTTGTATATCTCTTGATATATTTGTGGTAGAGCATTGGAACTTGCTGTCGAGATAAATACAATTAATTCCATACTCATGGGAAAATTGGCGGTATGAGAAAAGGGGGCATGGCACCTCCCCTTGGCGTGTATTATTTAATCAGCTCTAACTTCGGATCCATAAGTCACATGAACTTGAAATTTGGTATGCAAACATATCTGTGGTAGATGCTTATCTCAAGGTATATATAAATGAGTTTGTAAAAGGAGGCGTGGCAGATAATATAGGCGTGGAATTTTTAGTCAGTCATAACTTCGGAACCATAAGTCATAAACGTGATATTTGGTATGCAGACATATCTATGGTAGGTGCTTTCAGTAAGGTATATATAAATAAGTTTGCAAAAGGGGGCGTAGCACTTAATATAGGCTTGGAATTTTTTATCAGCCATAACTTCGGAACCACAAGTCACATGACCCCTTTAATTCCTTTTGGAGTGGGGTGACACCCGCGGGTAAAAGCTAGTTATTAAATAAAAAGAGAAACATAGCCAACACTGGTCAAGAAAAGGAGTTTCTATTATTGCCATCAGTGCAAATTACAAATGCCGAAAATCCCGGCATTATTTGCCAAGAATCCCAAGATTTTCAGAACCTAAAAAACTCCCGGGATTAGCATTCCTAGTACCTACCCTGTAGGGAACTGAACTAAATATAAATGCACTATAAGTGCACTATTTTTCAACAAGGGGTGACTACGCCTCGAGTACTTTACTTTGCTTTCAACTGACCACTTTTACATGATATGTCACAAAAAAAAGTCATTTTGTTTTCAGCTAACTACAAACCATTTATTAATATGTTCACTTGCAGTGTGCCAATTAATGGAATGTTTTTGGTACTCTCGGCTTTTATACTTATTTTAGGTTAACTATTACCTGCATGATAACTATTTAGTTAAAGATGTGCTTTTAACATACACATACGTATATATACATATACACATACATAGGTAACATACATACATAAATGTGTGTACAGACATACAGTCAGTCAAAAAAGTTTAGGTACAGCGAATTTTTTACAATACGGGCAACTATTTTTTAAATATTTTATTTTTCGATAATTTTCTATAAAAATATGGTTAATTCTACAACGAAAAACCCAAAAATCAGAGTTCTAAACCTTGTGCAAAATTACAGAAAATTGTTCAAAAGAAAAAAGCTGAGTATGCAGTTTTTTAGCCCATTCAATTTTAGTATAACAAAGTGCAAGTGTGAGGAAGCTAGGACTTACCATTGATTTTTAGCAATTTTTTTTGTTGAAGGTTTTTAAATTTTCTTAGAAGTGTGCACATATCAATAATAGTGAAAATAACCGTTCAGTGTTAAATAAATACTACTTTTTAACACTTTCCACAACATTTATTAAAATTGGAAAGAAGTTTAAAATAAAATAGAAAATATTAAATCTTAAATATTCAATAAATTAGAAAATGGGCCATTTTGCAAAAGTAGGCTCCAAGTGACCAACGAAAAATTATGGGACCAGTTTTGCTCCAAGTGGACCAAATGTGGCAACCATGATTATCAGCTTGACTGTTTTTCATCCGAAAAAAAACAACATGTTTTGAAAAGAGGATTTATAGACCTTTAAAATGATGACAAAGTATTGTTAGACTTAGTTTGTGGGGAGTTTTCATCGGCTAAACTTTAATAACTAACCTTTGACCATCGCTGCTTTCAAAATTTTTTATGGAAATTGCAAAATATGTAATATAACATTTATTTTAGAATAACATAAATAACATACATTGCATAAAAGTACTTGAAGTTAAGCAATTTAAGCAAAAATACGGCCGTGAATTTATATGTATGTAACTACCGGACTTTCGGATTTTTTGAGCAGTGTGGCTAAGGAATTAATCAATATTTACTCAAATTTCATATATACCATGGTTTTTCATAAAATTTTAGAAAAATAGTCGTGGCACCGCCCACGTAAACTTGACCGATCTCGACCTAATTTGATACACACATTGTGGTTAGCCTCCTTAAGTACCGTGTTGAATATTTTTGAAATCGGACAAAACCTGCTTCCCCTGAAATATAGCTAGCTTTGAGTTATTTGAAATTACCGATATATCTAATATTGCGCAAAATTTTTCGAATGTGTATAGATAACATAGAAAAA